ATTCTTTTTTACGAGCCTTCAGAAGCATTTTTAGGGCATGAACCTTAAGGGCATATTGAGGATGTTCCTGATACTTCGGAGAAATTATTAAGTTATAAACTCAGAGTTTGGGCTGTTCGCTTTAATATAAAGCACAATGGCCTTACAGCTTTGCTGAACATTTTAAAAGATCATCTTCCTGAATTGCCTCGGGATAGCCGAACTTTACTTAAAAAATTGTCCTGAGACCAATATTAAAAAATCTATGGGGGGATTTTTTTATTTCGGAATATAGAAATATTTTGAAAAAATTAACTTACAATCAATTTGTCCCAATAGAGACATCCAATTAAAAGTAAACGTCGATGGTTTACCTCTAACAAAGAGCACAGGTCATCAGTTTTGCCCAATTTTAGGTCTTATAATTTCAGAAATCCAGATATCTCCTTTTATAATAGCCTGCCATAGTGGAAGTACAAAGCCAAAATCTTTAAACAGATTTCTGGAAGACATCATTTCTGTAATCAATTACTTGTCTTATGTTGGTTTTATGCAGAATGATATAAAATATTCATTTTCCATTAAGCAATTTAATTGTGATACTCCTGCCAAAGCTTTTATTAAAGGCATTAAAAATCATAAATCCCCTTAAAAAGCAAAAAAAAAAAAAAAAAAAAAAAAAAAAAAAAAAAAAAAAAAAAAAAAAAAAAAAANAATTTCAGCATCTTATTTGTTCTGTACCTTAGGATGTTGAGAGAGTTTTAATGATTATTCTATATAGGACTGGGCAATAATCGATGTAACTCATAATATCGATTTAACACATATATCGGCAGGCCGATATAATGACTTTTGTTTTAGATCAGAAATCTGATTTAAGCAACCGATAGTGACTTTTGTTTTAGGCGATGTATCAGCTGCGGAGTTGTTGACAGCGTCTATTTTACTTATTTTAAACAAGTGTGCATATCAAATACCTGAAAGTGGGCTAGCTAATATAAATATTTTAATGCTCTTTTAAATTAAATTTTAACATAATTTGTATTGCCTCATAGCTGTTTGAATAAATTACAAACTTTTGTTTTCCGATTCGTTACTTTGACTGCATATGTTATGGCTAAACCATATGCAGAAAAATGTTAACAAAAGATCTTGCCATGCAGTACAGCAGACTGTGGCGAAAAGGAAAAAAGTCATTCGAAAGATTGCCTGCCATCACTAATGTCATTTTGGGTAAAATTGTTGATTAAAATATTATTAATATATATATATATAAGTAATATTTTTTTCTTCCAGTTTTTAAATGCTTTAAGAAAAAAAATAAAAAAGTTTTTAAGCTGAATAACAATTCTAATTGCAAATAATAAATCAAATTTTTTAGATTCCTCTCTTTTTGTATTAAATTTTACAAACATTAATTTGCAGTTAATTCCTAACATTTCTAAGTTTATTCAGGATTTTTCATACATGCGCCACTCACAATTTTTTAATTTGTATAAATATATCTCATCAGTCGATTTTTATCTTTGCAAGCTGCTGTTAAGTTTAATTTAAAAATAATGTGCGGAAGAGACTCTCTCTATTTGAAAAATACAAAATAAAAACTAGTTCCCATGTAAAGGAAACCAAATACTGCAAAAAAGTTTCAGAAATCCAAACCAAAAAAAGAGAGAGAGAGGCTTGAAAAACTTCATTTTCTAAGTCTAACACAGTAGTAGGTCAATAATTTTTGAATCTGATCACAAAAAAGTAATAATTTTGCAGAAGGGGGAAGAAAAAAAAAACGATTACATCAAAGAATTGAATGCATTTGTAAATGCAGTGTATTTATAATAAGTTTGAGCTTTTGTTTAATTATACTTCTAAGTGTATGCTATCATAAGTAATCAATATCAGATCTAAATTTTTAAAAAAAATCTTATTTTCAACTTCAATACTTTTTCTGTATTTAAATATTCAGACAGTTATACAAAACAGTGTCTAATGCAGCATGCCCTTCGTTGGTCCTTGTGCAGATTCTCTGAGCCCTCCATTCAATTCAGTTCTCAAAGTTTCAATATATACTCATTAATAAATTGTGTTTCGTTAGATAGTCTTTCAATTTTTATTTTTTAAATGTTATTAATATTACTCAATGTTTTGCTTCAAGCTACAGTTCTCAGACGTTTTGAGGTCAATCGCCAAGAGCTTGCAGAAAAATTTGGGAAGGCTATTGGGAGCTTGCTTCGTCTAAAAAAGGCTATTTGGTTAGATTTAAAAATATATGCCCAACAGAGCTTAACAGGAAGTCTAAAGATGTAGGTAGTCGGAAACAGAATTTAGACAACAATTGTAACTTACATTGGGCCAGTGTGCCTAAAGTCTCCTAACACCAACACTTTCTAAAATTTTCTTCTGCGATCTTTATACTCTGTTCTTTCAATATATGTGGTGACCTCTTATTTTAAGTTTTAAAGTTTTTTGTGAGATAGTTTGCAAAACTTTATGGATCTGACCAAATGGTGTACAATGTAAATGTATTCATTCACTTATGTGATGATATTGAGAAGTTTGATGCACTGGAATCACTCAATGCTTTTAAATTTGAGAGCTATTAGACTCATTAATAAGAAAAACATGCCACTGCAAAAAGTTATCCAAATAGTACAATAATTAAGTCTAATGAAAAAAAAATCACTGAGGCACATCGGGGTTGTGAGACCCGTGTTTACCTAATAAAGGCAAACCCTCTGAGGGAGGAGATTCTGACTAAAGTTACTAATGTTTACTATTACTTGTTCAGTTACTGAAGTCACTCAAAAGTATTTAGCTGTGTATTCAAAATGTTATAACTAATTATTTTTAGTTACGCATTACATCTTCATAACTAAAATATCTGTGTACCATTGTGGGCATCTAGGTAACATATGGGATGGGTGGTTGATTCCCGGGATGCAGGGTTGGAAAGCAAGGGGTGGTAGCAGCTATTCGAATACACACAAAATGAAATCCTGTTCAAGTCGGAGGGGAAAAAAATCTTCAAGGTAACTCAATACACAACCAGTTTATTTAAAAAATGTTCAGTCTATATGAAGGGATATATAAAATAATAGCCAATATGAAGTTCATATGCTCAAGGCTGTAAGAATACATATTGCAATATTGTCATCAAGGTCATTTTTTAGACATATAAGTTTAAATTGGGGAAAAATCTAATACTGAAAAGTTTTAAATATTAAAAAAAAAATTTGTAATTTCTCTTACATAATTCGCAGCAATTCTGAATTTTATTAACTAACAAATTATGATTCATGAAAGTGTAGTAAGAAAATATCATCTGCATGACATGGCGAAGAAAATATTTCAATTATGGACATATATTTGAGCATTTGTAGCAATTTCACAACAGTAATTAGTTTGATCACTATGGTTTGATTATTCTCTAAAAATTGTTGTAAAATGATCATATATATATAAAAAAAAAGAAAAGTTTTAGTAAGAATTTATGATATTGTGTGACATGGGATGGAGTTTATGCAATAAATCTATTATTTTATACTTAAACTGTTGTCAAGGTTATTTTTAAAAATTAAATTCAATTTTTTAAAAAACTAGGTCTAATATAATTGTAATTTAGTAAAGCTTCAGTAAAAATTGAGTAAAAGAATACTATTGTCTAGCTAAGCAGAGCCTTGGTTTAGCAAGTCGATTATACAAATTTGCAGTCGAAGCAAAAAGAGAAATATAGATCACTGGGGTACCTCGGGGTCGTGGATCCCGTGTTTACCTAAAGAAGGTAAATCCCCTGAGGAAAAAAAAAAGTCTATCATTTAAAAATAGTGAATGCTCATTTTACACTGGTAAAGATTAGGTCGAGCATTAAGTTGCAAGCCTTATTATTATTTTAGGCCTTTATTCAATTATACAATGTAGAACAGGTACTAAATATAGGGAAAGAAAATTAGAAAGTTTTAATAAGATAAACAAAGTGTCTACATAAAAGAAAACTCATAAGTGTTCAAGCATAATACATTAAAATATAGTAGAGTAGGGTGTGCCTTTTACAGGCTCTTAAAAGCTTTATCTATTTAGATACTAATACTTTATACATAATCATGTATAAATTATGTATTAGTATCTAAAAGGATATTAAAACTTATAGAACTACAGAATTTTATTATTTAAACTACAGAGTATTTAAACTTATCCTATGTGAGATATTTATTTAATTTGCAAGACATCCTCAACACAAGCCTTGAGCTAAAAGGAGAGCAAATGGCTTGAAATAAGTTAAATTTCATATCACACTACCTGTTTCTTAACACACAGAGAAAATAAAATTGCTATAAATTACCCAATATAATGTATATAAGTTTTCAGGAAAAAAAAACCTAGTGAAAAAAGATAGAAAACTTTATTTTTAAAAACACAGACAATATGCGGTAGATAGATTTCAGCATCGTGAGCAATACCGCCATTTGGCTATGCACGACAAGTGCAAATTAATTTGTGTCTTTTCAGAAAACTTTTAGTGATGGTTGATTAAAACACATTTGCATCAAATGCAAATACTACATAAAAATAGCTTTCCTGAAGTGCTTGAAATTCTTGTCACTTAAGTGCTTTAACATCATGTGCAGAACTTTTAAGCAATATTACAATTATCATCTCTTTCCAAATTTAACCAATAAATTGGTTTCTTATACTTTTTTTTGAAAAATTTGCTTAATTTAGCTTTTAAGAAATTTTTAAAATAGAACACTGCTAACTGGACCCAGTTGTATTGTTCGGTAAACAAATTCGCAAAAACATTTATACAAAATAAACATTCTTCCAAATTTTATAATTAGTGTCAAGCCATTAATTTTTCCTGAATAAACAATTAGTATTGACATCTCTTTCAACATTTTAATCTGATTTTCTTCAAGGTATGTTTTTTAACAATAAAAAATTTAGTATTTTAGGAGAACTGTGTTATTTCAGTGTTTAGCACTAAGAAAACAATAAATTGTGTTATACAAAAGAATATTAAAATATAACTATTACATTTATGGAATATTTATTTTTCTAATAGAATACAATAAACTATATTACACACTAAATACAATTCACATCATAACAAAGATAAATTCTTCAAAATAAAACAAAACAAAAAGTAAACTTTACAATATGCTAAAATAAATATCAACAAATTCTAATGTTGTATAACATATAGAGTTCACACGAGTATGACTAGAAATATGATTGGTAAATATTTTAAAATCTCTTATATCACAAAGATTGAAAAGCATTTTTAGAAACCAACTGTACAAAGTGTGTATTATTTAAATACTAATGCTTCAAAGAGCAAAATATTTTAATACATGTTTCAATATGGATTAAAATCTAAAATTTTGCATAATTGACAGAAATGCATAGATGTGAAAAATTCCCCTTCATCATAATTTGCTAATAATTAATATTGGTTATCAATTTTTGAAAATCTGTGAAAGCAAAAATTTGTCATTTAGTAATGTTGGTTTCTCATATTCTATAGTAAAATATGATTCTTAAAGAAATATATAAATCACAGTTACTTTTATGGAGGCTGTATAAGCAATTTGTTTTGTTCTTTATAAGCACTTAAATTTAAAAAAATTAAATAAGTATAATGATTCTTTTATATTAATTTCTTAACAAGAAAATTTATATTATATTAAAAGTTTTTTATCATACAACATTTTAAAATTAATTTTTTTGAAGATATTTAAGTAATGGTAAGTGTTGATTATTTGAATTTTTACAGCTTTCGTTTTACTTATGACGCAATCTTTTTTTTTTTTACCTTGGAAGAAATACCTATTTAACCAGATTCAACATAAAGTAAATATTTTTTTTCTCATATATGTATTAAAAGAATTATTTTTGAGATTTTAATATAATTAAGGTCTGTAAACTTTTACATTATTTATTTATAAAAAAATTAATTATTTCTATTTTTAGGCATGAAGTAATTTTTATCAAAATAGATTTCAAAGCAAAATGAATGTCTTTAACTTAATTACTTATTTCTCTTGAATCAAACTTCTTTAAAAAGAATTTAAAAAAATTAAATAAATTAGAGCCTGACGAAAAATGTATACATTGAAGCTTCATAAGAGATGAAAAATTATCACACAATCCTACCACAAAAAATTTAAGGATGAAAATCATAAATAAAGATTTTTTTGAATGTTTAACCAATCACTTGTCTTTTTATAAAGACTTCTGGGTGTAGTGAGAGTTTGTGCAGCATTTGCAAATTTATACTCATTTCTTCTTAAATACATCTGAGCATCAGATTTCATCTGGTCAAGTTTATCTGTTCTATTTTCATCCAAAGTGAAGAATTCTGTTAAATAGGGATTCATTCTGAAGTAGGTATTTGGTAAGAGGAGATCGTTTAAGGCCACGTGCACAGCTGTAGAAAAAACAGGATATCCCATAAGGTTAATGAAAAATTACAAAAATGTCATAATTAGCAAACATATTACATCAGTGGTACATAGTTTAAAACATGTTTCAAAAATCCCCCCAAATTTTTTTTTTTTTAATTAATGCATACTTCATGAATTGTTTTTATTAATGCATACTTTATGCAATTTTTTTATTAATTCATTCTTCAATATTTCAATTATTTTAAGAAAACAAAATAACAGAATATTTTTCTTTTAAAATTTAATGCTGAACTTGATATTGGTAATTCCTCGCATTTTTTTGCAGGAATTTATTGACACATTTTATTTGACAAATATAATAAGAATTTTTTTTTTAAATTAATTTTATATATTTATTATTATTATATTTTTTAAGCACTCAAATAAAATAAAAGATGCAAGATTAAAGTTTAGGTTCGTAAAATTTGCTTCCTATTACACAGTTAAAGTATGAAAATCAGTTGCAAAAAGATAATAGCCAAATAAAAATTTTCGATTTATTAGAATTTTAATATAAGTTGCAATGGATGAGAAAAAAATCTTTTGTTAATTACATTGGTAGATCTAGTAGGGTCTGGTGGGGCAAAGTGGGTATAAAATAAAGCTTTTTTAAAATAAGGCATGAAAACCAAACCACAAAATTTTTCGGAAAAGTTTTGATGCATTTTATATAAGTTGGATTTATACAGTTAAATATGTATCATAAATAATCCATTTTGTTTGATCATTTTCTTACAGTAAGGAATTCAAAAGAACATATTTTGATATACCCAATTTACCGCAGAATGGGGATAGTTCTAAAATTAGTATATATTTCACTAAAAAACATATGCAAATATTGTTTTCGAAATAAAAGTGCTCTTAAATAAATGTATCATGATTATAATTTTAAAAAAAATATTGAAAATTTTCTTTTTCTGTTTTTATTAAATTAGAGTTAATATTTAAGGTTATCAAAATTAGGTTTCACTCTGGATACAGTACATTTTCTACACCATTTCATCAAAAAAACTGTAATAGTTTTTGGTTTACTTGAAATATATTTAAATGCAAGTGTAAAAATTAATATCCATATTGGTAATTCAAAGTGTTTTTACTATTTATAGCAGACATTTTTAATCAATTTAGTTATTTTAAAGGAATTGTTTTCTTTTCCATGAAAAAATTGACATATGAAGACAGAAACTTGTGTGAAAACTCATCTATATCTTTAGACATGCTTACTAAGTTGTGCCATTATGCTATTTTGTCTATATGTCTGATATATTGTTATTTACTCCCTATAACTATATGTATATTATTTATTTATGTATATCTCTTTTTAAGATGTCCTTCGACCAGTTTGAATTAAAATTAATAATTTTTTGCTAATTTTTAATGATAATGGAAAAAAAGTTCCTCAACAGCTTAAACTAACATAGTGTATATGTTGATCATAAACCGATAGTTTGAAACTTTAAATTTTTTATCAGTTTCTAAAACTGAAATAAAAATGCTTGCTGCAATTCCAGTAAATGTCTCTATTATCTCAATATAAAGAGAGAAAATAGATGTTTTTTTTTAAACATAAACCCACTTTATCCCACCCGATCCAAGTTAATAACCATTTATTAAAACTTTCGCGGTTTCTTTTGCACATAATTAAAAATTTTGAAGTTCTTACATGATCAATCAAGAAAAAAAAATTATACCTTCTGTGTCAGTAGCACTGTCAATTATTTTTAGCACTTTAGTTTTGAGACTAGTAGAAGTAAAATTTGGAGATACAGCAGGAATGTAGCGACCTGTTCCTAATGACATGACACATTGTATATATTCTGAAGGCCACAGTAATCTGGCTTCATGAATAGCCAGGGCAGTAGGATTATTGATCATGACTCCACCATCCTGAAATTTTCATGGAAGTTGAGAATAAAAAATATCTTAATGTAATAATTTTTCATGCCAGATAATAAAATTTCTTATTGATGTTAACAATTATATTTAACAAAAATTAGATTTTTTAATACTAATGTTAAATCGGTCTTGTTGTACGGACCTGAGACATGACACTGCAACAATAATAACACGAAAAACTTCAAGCATTTATTAACAATTGTTTAATAAGAATCTTGAGTATCGAGTGGTTCCATAAAATTTGTAATGCAGAAATCCTTAGAAAAGTAAAACAGAAAGCAATTGACCTGGAAATTTAAAAAAAAAACGTAAATGAAAATTAATTGCTCCTGTTTTACGTAAACCTGAAAAATTTAAAGTAAAGCAAGTTTTTGATTGGAACGATCACGGCAATGGAAAAAGAGGGAGACCAAAAAATAATTGGTATAGGTCGATTTAAAGGGAATTGAAAATAATAGGAAAGATATGGAAAGAGGCGAAATATCTGGCCACAAATAAAGTAAGATCGAAAGCAATGCCAGAAGCCCTATGCTCCAATTCAGAGTAAAGAGGAATATGTATGTCAATGAATTATGCAATAATAGAATAACATTGATATAAATTATTAAAACTTTTCTTTATTAAATAAATTTCCAATACTTATTAGAAAAGTTTTCTCTGTACATATAATTTTTTAATGAAAAATCTCCTTTCCCTTCAAGAGGATTTTGAAAGTTTTAATATAAGTAAATAAGATGAGAAATTTTATCAAATTATTTGCCATGATTGTTATTAGCATATTAAATTCGTCTGGTAATTATTTCACTATTTATGTCAATGAAAAAGAAATAACTCTTTAAGAGAATTTTCCATTTTTTCATGAACAATTTGGAGATATATATTTATACCTTTTAAGAGTGAGAATATAGCACAAAAAGAAGATAAGATTTCTTAAATAATTCTCTGAAAAACAGTCTGTTTCAGGAATTTTAATATTATAAATTTTCACAGTATTTTTGCAAACTAATTAATTTATTTTCATTGTAAGAGATATTTTTATTATAATAGATATTAACTTTGATGAATATTTTATATAATGTTAAGTAATTAAAAAAGAAAAAAAAAACCTACTAAAGTACTTATGGTATTAGTTTAAAATAGAATTAGGAACATGATCTAAAATGCTAACATTGAAGTTCAATAAAGAATGAAAAATTCCAAAAATAAACTGTTACCAAAATTTTAATCATGAAAATCAATGATATATATATCTTTAATAGTTAACCACTCATTAGTTCTTTTATTACGATTTTTTGAAAAATATTTTTAAATTTGACGTTCCAAGAGATGTCATATTATGTCTTGTATGTAGTTCACTGAAATTACTAGTTTTGTTATTGTATACTATTCTAAACCCTTCACTGCAGTAGACCATAGGGAAAAAAAATTCTGAAAAAGAATGCATCGCAACTAAAATTGTAATGCATTGTAACATAAGTTTCCCTCAGAGAGGAAAAAGGAATAGGAAAGAAGTATTTTTACATCATTTGTCTATTTGATAAAGTGATTAATCTAGATCAGGGGTTTCCAACTTACATGAGGCCGGGGGCTACAATTAAAAACACAAATCAAATGGCGGGCCGCAACTTAATAAAAATTTTATGTAGGACTCTTATGTTTGAAGGAACATTAAGTATTACTGTCTGATTTTTACCAAGTTGTACAAAACAAAAGTATTGAATTACAAATTAAAATAAGAAGTAGATTTTTAAAAATATTTAACTGTTATTAATAATATTTTTAAAAATATTAAATAATAAAAATTCGGGCTACAATAACTTTAATGTGCACCTTTGTATTAAACAATTAATGTGCAACAGATAGTATCTAATTGTTAAGATATAAAACTTTAAAAAGTTTGGCATTAAAACCTACATAGGAACACACAAAATATTCAATAAGAAAATTGAAGTTGTCTGCTACAACCACCAGAGAATATATATTTACATTTAAAATTTACAAATGTGTGTGTAAATATTTTCGTCCAAAATGAGTGGTTTCAAAAAGTTAAATCGGAGAATTTCTTAGAGAAAATTTCTGATATGCACATGCTAAATTATATTCACGAAATACAAAAAAATTAAATAAAAAAAGAGTAACATACACGCTAATTTTTGTATTTGAATAGATATTTTCTTGGGTGCAAAACCTGAGAAATAAACTTCTTTGCACCGTTGGTATGTTAAATTTCACAAAAATGAAGAAATTAGGTTTTTATTAACGAGAAGAGTATTTATAACCCATAAAGACTTTTTACGAAAATTGTCCACACAAAAATGACACTAATATATTTTAGTCCGCGGGCCACAAAAAAGGCTTTGAGGGCTGGAAGCGGCCCCCGGGCCGCCAGTTGGAAAACCCTGAACTAGATTTTAAGATTACAATAAGTAATTTAGGTACTCCATTAAGCCAAGAATATCGTAAGAACCAGGAAGTCAAGTTTATACAGGTCAGCCGCTACAGATAACACCCATAGATATAAAATGCAACAGTATCCCAAGAAATAATGATAGCAATACACATTGAATATAAAAATATTGTGATCATTATTAATAACTATAGAAATGAAATACAGTAGTAACACCATAATTATTGATAATTTAATAAATCAAAAATACACCACAGGGGATATTAAACATAATGATAGTTAAATACGATATTATTGTGAATGCAGATAAATATTTGGGTAATAAAAATATTGAATGAACAAAAAAATATTGAAATTTGTTAGTTATTGTTTATAGCGACCAATGCCTGTGTTGAGGACAACTCAGAAAAGTAGTAGCCAATACACGGTCCCAATTACCAATAAGTGACGTAATTTATAGAATGTAAAAGAGTCCAAAATATGTGCAATTAGTCAGGAAAAGCATGTGTTTACAAACCTGATGAAGAAATTCATCTAGGCAATACTCTTCAAAATAACCAGGGGCTGCACCTGATGCACGTACAGACTCCCACATTCTATATCTACAGCTACCTCTGTGATAAGACTGAACACCGGGTGGGAGATCATAATTACGAAACACAAATGGCTGGAGATGAGGGAGATTCATTATTGCCGAAACAACTGCTAGCTAATGAAAAAATAAATAAACTTTAAAAATATCTATTAATTTATACTTATTAGATAATTAGCTTAAATATATTTATATAAAATTAAAAGAGGATTAAACACAAGAAAACTTCAAGGCTTAATCACAAAAAAAGTAATAGATGCATAAAAAAATTTGAAAGACAAAGCTGAAAAAAATATTTACATGATTTCAATTCTACACAAATCAAAGGTTTATAAATGTCATTAAAATAGATTTTTTGCAGATTGTTTTAGCTGCATACGACATGTCAAAACTCTTAATTTTTCAAGACTATAGAAACGCTCCTTAAAGAAGCTATGACTAAACACACTGCATTCTTTCTAACCTTAATATGGCATATCTCTTATCTAATATGGCAACTATGGCTTGATGGTAAATGGTGAGAAACTTGAAGACTTTGATACAATTCCAAATTTTTAAGGACATTGCTCAATTGGTATGCACTGAATAAATAATGATATTTTAATTTTTTACTTCTTTTTGGTTCGAGGCGAGATTTTGAGCAAAAGACTGAGTGAGCTTGCACAAGAAGATAAGGGCCTTATGTGCCACAGGGCACATAGAAGGATAATTAAGTACGTATCAAAACTTTTTAATTGCTTAAATACTTTTAAAACATTGTCAAGTGTTATTGATTTCTATAATGCCTATTCAATTCCTATTAATTTAGAATTTGCCTATTTTTAAACAAATGATAATATGTACATAAATATATATATACCTTTGGAGAATCAGGTTCTTTCACAGTATCAATAAGCAATCTTTCACCAAATGTTTTCCTTAAAAAAAATTTTAAAATCAATATTTTGTTACAAAAAAAAGTTACTTAAATTTCACTTCTCTTGAGATAAATAACTGCAACTGAGACTTTTATACATGAGATTTCAATACATACATATACGTAATATCTAAAATAGTAGCCAAATAAAATTAAGGGATTTTAAACCGAAAGTTAAAAATAATTAAATTTAATTGTAGATTAGCTAGCTCTTCTTAACGGATGAGAACATTCAATTGTCTCTTTCACATAAAAGAATCACTTACGTAATATCGTAAATTAATTACTATAAGCTGTCCGTGAAAAGAGTGTGAAAAAATCTTTATAAGTTTCTAGGAGATTCTGCTCCATGAACATTTGTAAATAGTAGTTTAATTTCTTTAGTCTTTTTTTTCCTTAATAAATGTTCAACAAAAATTATAATGGAATCATTTATAAAGTGGTTTCACACTAAATTCTGATATCATAGAAATCATGGTCTTGGATAAATTTGAATCAACGACTGTGAATATAATGAGATAAACTTGGCACCAAGACATAACAAATATATGTATATAAAGCATTAGTAATCCAACAAAATAATGCAATATAAATTATTGACAGTAAGCTAAGAATAAGATGTGAAAAATTTTTGATACACAACTTCTCTACTTTTTCCTGGCGTTTGTCAATGTTACACAATAGCTTTTTTGCATATCATCAGCACCATTCATTCATCAAACATTCATGTGTTTTTAACAAGCAGCTGGAAAAAAAAGAGAGTGGAGGGGCATCCCATGCTTACTGACAAACACCATGACAAGTGGAAGAGACATATTTTCAGGAAAAACAGGGGGGGTTGTTTTACAGTGAATTTTATGATTGGCATCACCCTGATTTTCTTTATTCATTCCTTTCTGATTTATGTTTCTTCATCCACACCTGTTCCCTACACTCAACAGCTGTTCCTATGCCAGAAAGCAAGGATGAGATTAGCCGAACGGCAAAAAAGCTGAATTTCCACAATAACAAATTTTACGAAAGCGCAACCCTTTAATAATAAATTTCAGACAGTTTAAGGTAATAAATAATGTGTTGACATACAATTGTGTACTAATCTATTATTATATAAATGATTACATTGATACCTAACATTTAGTGAAAATAAAACTCACCAATTGAAAAAAATAAAGTTGGAAATTATATTTTTCCTCAGTTTACATAAGAGACAATTATTACTTAAAAATCTACCTTAAAACTACTGAGAATATACATTAATATTTCATTTCTTTTACTAAATACTGTTATGTGATTTATAGCAAATATATCAGTAATATTACTTTTTAAATTATATTGGAAAAACAATGGACCGAATCATTATGTTCATATTATAGTCTAATCTAACTAGAGCCCTTTGAAACATATCAATAACAGTGAAGTAGAAATATATAGTAACTCCTTAACATACAAAAATTGCTATTTTAGTTTGAAAAATTACATGACAATCAGCAACTGTTTAGATAATTGTTTTTTATTTGATAAGAATTTTGCATTTTATAGCATAAATAACAGCAATTATAAATAAAATTTTGATGATGAGTTAATTAACTCTTTTTCCCCCAAAATTTTTTTTTAATTAAATCCCTTTTTAAGTGATTGCTTTTGTTTGCTATATCTTTTATGTTTGCTATATTTAGTCGTTAGTCCATCTTCAAACATCTTGTGACAAATCCTATTTTTTCTTCTTTGCAAGCACAGAATGTAAGTTTTGAATATATTCCCTTCCAGTTTCTCTGATGTTGTAACACTTACATATACTAATAATCGTCGTTAGAAAAACAGTCACCTTTATAGTAACTAATTTTTAAAAAAAATTTACTTCTTACAAGAATCGCGATAGTTGATCTTAAAATTGCGTGAATATGAATAACAATTATGGATTTTGAAATCACATGAATATGAAACTAGATATACGATTTTGAAAATGAGAAAATACAAACTGGGATATAGAATTTTTAAAACGCGTAAATACAAATCACGATTCATAATTTTTAGATCGCGTAAATACGAATCATGATGCGTAATTTTTAGATTGCATAAATAAGAATTATGATGCATAATTTTTAGAATGCGTGAATGCGAATCCCAATGCCTTATTTTAAAATCACGTATAAATACGAAAATCAATGTTTGATATTATAAACCGCATGAGCAAATCAAGACATTGAATTTTAAACTTGCGTGAATACGAATCGCTACATAGGTTTTTAAAAAGGCGTAAATACGAATCACAATATCGGATTTTTAAATCTCGTAAATAAGAATCGCAACGTACAATATTCAAATCGCGTGAATAAGAATCGCAACACACAAATATGAAAAGCTATGTTAGATATTAAAATCGTGTGAATAAGAATCGAGATATTAGCAGATTCCAGGCTTGGGACCTGTAAAAGGCTTGTCAGAAGCAGCGTCGTTTGAACTACAAAAATCGGATCTATCTGGAGGGCGGGTAAAAAATTCGGAAAATCTTATCTGCTGCGAGTAAAAGGGGAGAAAATAGTTAAAATAAATAAAAATGAGGAAGGATTGGTAGCTATGTAGTTCGAATTTTCTGTTTCTCTTTGAAAATCGGTGAATTTTCTGAAAAAGCGGAATATTTATTAAAAAAAAGTGAAATTTTTAGAAAAATCTGAATTTTTGATAAAAAAGCTGAAATTTAAGAGATAAAAGTGAAAAAAGCGGAAATCTGCTAAAAAGCTGAAAAATCTCATCCCTGAGATAGCAGTCTCCAGAAAGTGATTCTAAGAAAGGATGGGGGAGGAGAAAATTCCAGGTGAGTTGACCATTCCTTGGAGTAACATTAAACATGAAAAAATAAATAAAAAGCACTAGTAAGAGGAGGAAAAAATGATGAAATTTCCAGTGGGTTCTAAAAGGCAAAATTTTCCAAAGGAAAAAATTTTTTTATATAGGCCACTTCTTCAGATATGCCTTTCTATTAAATTTTCAAGTTTAAAATCAATAACACTGCGGTGTGTCTCCACGAAATTACGTTATTATACATCTAATCAATGTGAATACTTAAACAAGCTAATAACATTTTATAAGTTAAACAAAATACTCAAAATATCTTAATTAAAAAAAATTTCTTCTAAGATAATTTTTTTCCTTATGAAAACATACTATTTAATGACAAAATAAATCAGATTGCAATAAATTTTCTAAAACTGCTTGAACATTGCATGGAATTTTTTAACTCGGAAAATGCTTAAAACTGTTAAAAAATTATGAAAAATGAGCTATATTTTTCTTAAATTTATAAAGGCACAACAAGATGACTACCTCCTTCTTAAATAATATATTTGTTGGTAAGATTTTGAGACTTGCTAGAGTGAAAGTGGCAATATGGCAAAAAAGTTTTGAGATCTCTGGTTTTGAACAACTTGTATTGAATTCAATTAGAGCAAATAGTAACAGCAATCACATCACTGAACATTACATTTTTTAGTTACATCTGCATTTCCTTACAAAAAAGCAAACTTACTTCAAAACATCGACCCACATAGTGGTATCATAGTATGCATGACTCCACATCAGCCGACTTGTACCCCAAAATGTACTTTGACTAAACACTTTATCACTCAATGTTCTATACAGAGATTCACATTCATCAAGAGAAAGACGAAGTCCTCCCAAGAGTAGTCCCAAAATTGCACCAGAGCTCACTCCACAGAAATAGTCAAACAGTTGGTATATTTTTTTATTGGTTTTAGCCTCTAATTGTCGTAGTATTTCTATAGCCAAGATGCCCCTAAGGTAGGAAATAAAAAAAATAAAACAAAATGTAAAGGTAAATATATGCAAAATGACAAAGAAATGAAGTACTACAACGTTGACTATATTAGTGCACTTTATCAGAGAAAATAAAAGAACACGATTCAAATAGTTCATAGCTTTGGGTGAGAAGTAAGAATAGTAATACAGCCATGGAAAACTAAATATAAAAATAGTAGTAAAATTTATATAAAAATAAGCAGGTTGTAGCAACACTACTAAGTACACAATATAAGAGCAAGTACTTGAGATAATATGCCAATGCTAAAAAGCTCATACAAATAGAAATGTTTTTTTTTTTTCAAATGAATATTTTTAAATGAAAAAAGACCTTTAAATTTTTCGAAGCTTTTTTAAAAGTATTTAGGGTCATACCAATAAACTTTTTTTTAAAAAATAAAATACACTCATAAGAATATTAAAAAAAAAAAAGATTATCTAAAATAACAAAATTACATCAAAATGTTTACAGTTTAGACAAATAGAAATTACTAAAGGATTATGAATACAAAGGTTAGATTATTACAAAAGGAATAATATTTATTAGTTTTTTTTTACTAATTTGTTCAGTTTCATTAGCACCAAGAAATTGAAGCAATTATTAAAAGGGATAGTAACCAAATACTTAAAACAATTAATACCTCGTTCCTCCGCCATCAATGCTGAGTATTCTTATACCATTTCCCCTAGGAGGATTTTGAAAACCTATTAAAGCAAGAACACACCTGGCTTGGGCTTGTACAGCTTGATCATTTTGGTTATATTTGAGACGTAATGCAATCCTCATAAGTCCTGCCTGAGTATGAATTCACAATATTAAATTTTATAGTAACTAAAAAAGATAACTAACTTAACAAATTTCATTAAAAAAAAGTAGAACAGTTCATGTAAGTGACATCAATAGCTGGAAGTTGTCTACAAACAGCACTGCTGGACTAAGAATGAAAGTAGCAATAAAAAGTTAAAGAAAAATAGAGGCCAGGAATTTTCCTTTCTCGTCTCTTAGGTGCTGTTGAATGAGGAAATTAATGGTTTCTTCAAGAAATTTTGAAAGTCAATTACCATTCTTCTATACATATACACACACATCCATATATAAGCGAAAACTAGTTACATCTGATTATAAAAATATACAATCACATTAATTGTTTCTATAAGTAAATAGCGAATTAATTAGAAAGAATAATTTTAATTATTATTTAAAAATATATTACAAGGTTTTATCGTGAATAATTTATTTTTTTAAACTTTTTTTATTGACATTCATAGCCAGTTCATTCATTTTTGTTTTGAGAACACGAAGGAAAGGAAGCATGTTGACATTTTTTAATTTTAATGATAAGTTAAACCTGATAGTAATTTTCAACGCAGATTGTAATTTAATTAAAAAATAATGTGATGTAAATCTCTTAGCGGCAACAAGAGATTGTTCATTGCCAGACCATAAGTTTATTTGTAAGTTTTACAACCAATTAAATAACTAATTTATAACTTAATTGAAAAATGGTACATTTAAAACATAGTTCAGCTAGATTATATATTTTCATTAACTTCAGCTTAGAGAAACTCAAGCAATCTAGTTTCAAAGCACCATTTATAAAAACGTAGTCAAAAAGGAAGGAAACAAACCATTAAGTAAAACAGCCAATAAACAAGTTATTTAAGATCATAAAGTAATTTTTAAAGTTGAGTTCTTCAATCATTAAATAAATATTTACAGGAATGTTAAAGTAGATATATAGAAAAAATTACCTTACACATTACAGATTTCTGATCAGGATACAAAATGAGATGTTTACAAACTTCTTCTAATCTCAAAAGTTGTGATGCAGATGATGTTGCTTCATTTAAAGATGAAACTAAAAATCTACTACGTTGTTGGAGACTTGACTGAAAGAGAAAATATCATGGTTTAATGCTGATAGTAAAATATTTTTGTCAAATATCTGAATTTTAACAAGTATGTACATAAAAAAAATTATGTAAAGAAAATTTCACTTTATTAAAAAAAAACTGACAGCTTACAATTATAATTATTAAATTTTTTAGTACTATAATTCCTAGTGTATAAATCAATCCAGTTATTTTTGATTACGACATTGTAAATTTCTCATACGATGAGTCAAGTCAACTGCTGAAAAAAAATATATATAGAAATTCTATTTTAATGTAAAATCTTTTAAAAAGTGTGGAATTTAGAATTCTTTCCTTGGATGGGGGTGAATATAAATTTTGTGGGACTCAGCAGATCAGGATAATTTTTTTTCTTCCTGAATGTAATTTAAAGTATTGATTTGAAAAGAGGGAAATGCAAAATTAACTATATATAACATATTAAAACCAGTTTTTGAAAAGGGTAAATTGATGGAGAGTTATACATATATATCTAATTGTTTATAATGAAACAATATTTCACGATAAACAAATGTTTGATTTTAATCACAGGTGATAAAGCTGACTACCTGATTTTCGTAAAATTTTGAGGGTTTGATAAGTTTATTTATACACTAGGATATACAAATTTTTCAAATAAACACACAAATTACAAATATTATTTTAAAGCACATCAAAAAGAAAATGAATATTAAATACTATTAAGTTTATAGGAGAAATTTAAAGAGGAAAAAAAAATTGGTAAGTAATCAATTAACTCTAATATTTTATATAGTTACATAAATAAATATATAGTTACATATTTTCACATTTTTGCTAGCGATTTTTGTATTTTATCTATTTTAAAAAATTATCATGTGAACATAAATATGAAAATTCTCTATATGAATTTGGCATGTTTTTGACAAAAATAATCCTTTTTTGTTGCATATTAATCTTTAATCAATGATTTTTCAGTAGATATGGGCCTCTTAATGTCCCAAGCAAATAAATTATAGTTAAAAATATTTGTACTTGCATTTTCACATTTAATGATATGACCATTAAGAAGAAAAAAAAGATTATCTTCTTTTGTAACTCTGTTAAATGCTTCTCTAAGTTTTTTTCAAAAAACATTAAAATTTTGAGGTATCTATCTTAGCAACAAATCTTACAATCAACAGATAAACAGAAAAACATTTACTTTCGATATTGAAATTTTATTGTATTTTTCATTAGGTTTTTCGTCTTTGCCCAAGAACTCTTTTCGTTTTGAATGGAAATCGCTTCCAGTGAGCCATTCAAAAAATGTTTGTTCTAATTCTTGATTTCCTTCTACTTTTTTTATTACATCTTTCTCTGTTAAAACAGAGTTAAGTTGAGCAGCTGAAGATTCAATTTTTTCTGCAGTCAATAAAGATGATTCTTTTGAAGTCAACTTATTGTTTTTGTTATTTTCAGAATAATTTATATTAGCATAATCTTTTGCAGTGTCTTGAAAATCTGTTGTAGATTTCCGGAATTTGAAGTTAAAACTCCCGAATAGTGATGAGGCAATAGTAACTGATTTTAATACAGCTGGCAAAAAATTATCACTTAAATTTTTTACAGAATTTAAGATGTTTAATTTAGTTGCCCCTTGCTTTGAAGATGTACCATAGTGATATTGCAGCAGAAAGTTTCTGAAATAAAATATAAGATATTTAGAGTATGCAGTAAATATCACAAGCAAATGAATTTATTACGAATGAATGAAAATCAAAATTACAAAATATGAAATAAAACAGAATTAATAAAAGAAAAAATATTACACAGTTTTAAAATAGATAAAAAGAAAACTGCAACACTAAGTAAGATGCACACGAGTCTACTAAGGCTTCAATTAGTTAAAAAATAAAGGTTTGCCACTGCTGTCAAATGGTGAGACTGTTTTGTGATGCTAATTATTGCTAAATTGTGCAGTAAAACACTGCCAATACCATTAAGAGGACAGGGATACAAATAAACTAACAGTAGTACACATCACCATATATAATATAATTATAAATCATGAACAGATTTTTGGAAATGCTTTTTTCAGCACTCACTGCAGAAAACAAAATTTTAGTGAATGGAAAAGTTTACTACCAAACTATAACTGAAAACATGAATTAAATTTTAAGTGTTCGAGGAAAATGAAACAGAAAAAAAAAGCAGAATTATCTTGAATAGCATATTAAAGACCAGAAATTTTTATTTAAAGTAAAAGGTGGAAATAAACATTCCGAAACAAATTCTAAATTTTTTTAAAATTAATTTTAACTGAATTCTTGCAATTTTTCCAATCAGTTGCATACAATTTATTAATTTTTCAGTTATATGTCTTATTCTTATACATAGAATTTAACTACAAAACACCATATACTTGCTCTTAAAATTAGAGATTTTTTTAAAAAATAAAATATTATAAGACAAATTTCATATAAAAGGTATAGGGGGAAGTAGCTGATATTTCAAGCGTTTAAGGGGACAATGGATTTTTTTTATAACAGCAATCAAAAGCTGATATCTTTAATAACAAGAACTCTATTTGCTGATGATTTAAAGAGTACATGGAGAAAATTAAGTTTAAAACCAGATAAAATTAAAGAAACTTGCAAATTTTCTATTACCTGATATTTTCGTGAGACTTATAATATGAGCATATGGGGACTAATGGGACATCAGGATTAAATCAAAGACATGCATGATTTATTTAAAAGACTACTGTTTCATCAAAGCTTTACAAGAGCAGATTTTTAAAAACTGGCACTATCTAAAGAAATTAATTAGAAATGGTATCTTTTTAACAAAATAATACATTCTTATTAATAAACAAAATAAATCAATTTATGTGTTAATACTACAATTACTGCTAACTGCTAAAAAATATAACTTTAAACTACTGTCCATAGATATATAAATAAAATAAACATAGCTGACAACCTGTATAGGAAAATATCCAGTAGATTTTACGAACTATAAATTTCATAACTGTTGCACAATATATTAAATATTTTACATATAGGGATTTTTATGGCCATCAAAGTACAAGAACTTTATTTTATTACTCTAAGAAATATAATTGGTCTGCAGTATTTTTTAATTATTGTTAACATGAACTTCACATATTTTTTATTATGTTAACTTAAGTTTAAATCATAATAGACAAGTAATTCATTATTCATAGTTAAAAGACTTTTTGATTAATTTAAAAAGGGAGTTCTGTATATAAACTGAAAATTTTAAAACAAAAGAAATAAAGAGCTATGATTACTGTAAATGAGGCTCGCTTCATTATGTATAAGCAGAACTTATTTAAACAGTCAAGCAAGCGATGGATTGCTTAAAAATATTATTTAAACAGAGATTTTTTATTTAGAATACTTGCTCCATTTTGAAGAATTTTCTAAAATGCTGAAAAAATAGGAGAATTTTTATTAAACCAGTAGACTAGGAGAAACTGGTAAATTCCAGAAAAGTTAACAGCTATGAATAACTTATTTAATTTTTCTAGAAAACAGTAAAAACCATAAAAATTGCTTTAGTACCATATTCGAAGACAAAATTGTAACCGAAGATGCGAATTTTAAGTTTGTAAAAACAACGAAACTGTCTGCTAATAAAAAGAATAAAGAAAAAATGTGTTCTTACTTGCGTTTTCTGACAAATGAAGCAAATCGAAAGGTCGGTGTTCTTAGAATTCCTGGATGTAACATTATTCTACGAGACTTCATTTTCCTTAAAATAACTTAAAATAACCAAGTATATTGTTTAAAATAAAAGTAATTCATATTTAATTAAAATATGTTCCATAAGTTCGTCATAAATTCATAACGCAATACATGGTTGTGACAGGCCAGAATCATTCTATAAAATTAACCAATCACAGAATGTTATTGTTATTTTTTCCTTCAAAAAATAAAAGCGGTGTTGGATTGCTTATGTCTGTGATTCAAAAGTTAGATCATTCTTTAAATTCGGGTCACGAGCGATAAAATGTACAGAAATTAAGTGCACCTAATTCCTGTAAATTTTATCGCTCGTGTATCGAATCTACTTCCTCAAAAGCATGCTTTTGAGAAAGCAGATTCGATTCAACTGTTCTTTCATTTTATTTTTATGGTAAAAATGAGTAAAGTATAAAATCGCTTTCAGAAGAAAATGTCGTTACGAGCATAAGGGTTCGTGTGGATTGGAGATGAATAAAACAGTCCTTAAGACTCAAAAATTTATTAGTAAAATCTTTCTGAAAATACAGCAGTTTTTAGAACTAAATTTTTTAGTACTTGAATTAATTGTCTAATTAATTTAATTCTCAAATATCAGTGCAACACACAAAACATAAGCTTCAAACAAGTCAATAAACTCATGAGAGACTTGCAAATCAGAACAATATTGCAGTCACAGACTCTACTACTACTTCACAGTGAGGCACACTCAGAGCCGGATTATACCTTTCGTAGGCCCTATAGTCCATTCCACCTTAAGTTGGCACTGGAGAGAAAGGTAGGAAATGTAATACTCCGCCTTTGAAAAGTAGTTCTTCGCTATTTTGGAATTAATTGCAGTTTAAATGCGCGTACAATTATATATAAATGTTGCATAGTAAGAAAAGTATATCTTGAAACATTCATTAGAAGTTTTTCATGTTTAAATGTATTTAACTTATAAATACCTTCTCAGTAAAGCGAATGTACAAAGAAGAAGGAGGTGTTTTAGTTTGGCGCTGAATTAGTTTTCAAGGACAAGGAATTGGCTCATTGGCTATGTTTCTACACTGGTCAGTCAGCTTTTCCATTCGCCTTGGCTTTGCTTAAGTGTCCTATCTCTTGTGCAGTTCTTATTTCGTTTTTTTTTTGTATTTGATTATTTAATTTTCTAAATATTAACCTCATCTGTACAATATTTAATGAAAA